AGCTGTCTACGTGCTTTTTATGTATTGTATCATTTAATCCTCACAACTTCCCTAGAATGAGCAGATTCTATTTTTATCACCATTTCACAAATGGGGAAACTGAGGCACAGGGAGTTTAAGTAACTTGCACTATCATACAACTAGTAGATAGCAAAGCTGAGATTCAAATCCAGGCAGGCTGGCTCCAAAGCCAATGCTCTTAGCCCCCACCCCTGTACCATCATGCTAGAGGGGGGGCTCAGCTAGGGTGAGAGATGAAGGATGAGAGATTGTAGAGAGGCAAAATGCCAAGGAATGGGAGCTCCACAGACCTGGGTTTGGTAGTACTGGCTGTGTGACTTTAGGCAACTTACCAAACATTTCTGAGACTCAGTTTCCTCATCTGGTAAATGAGGATAGCATCTTCTTCATGGAGCCGTGTGACTGAGGTAACGCGTTTAGAGCACAGTGCAAGGAGTATTATTATTATTAGAAATGGAGGGTGGGGAAGAGGGGCATGGCCTGGCCAGCACCCAGCATCAGGGATGAACATGGGCTATACTTGTATGTGTGGTTTGGAAGGGTGGCGGGGAGGGAGTCAGTCAAGCTAGAGTGTGGGCTGAGTGGAGTAGGTGAGTGGGAAATAAAAGCTGGCTTGGAAGCACGAGGGCAGGTAATTGAGGACCTTGAAAGCTACCATAAAATGCTCCATAGCTCTTCAAAGTGACAGGTGTGTGGACTTTGTTGACATATGGAAATGTGTGTTTGAAAAAAAAAATAGAATGCAAAATAGTATGTACAAACAGACAGCTGTGTAAACACATTGTGGTCTCTAGCTTAGAGATCAGAAGGGCATCTTCAGTGCTGTAAATACTCCAGCTCATCACTTTTTATTTATTTTTCTGTAAATACTTAATGAAAACTAAGAGTAAACAGGAGGCCAGGGTGAGGGGTTTGGCTTTTAACCTGAGGACATCCATGGGAGTCACTGCAGATCCTTATTTGTTTTGTTTTTGGTGGCTGGCCAGGTACAGGGGTCAAAATCTGGACCTTGGTTTTATCAGATGTTTTATCTTTTTAATTGAGACATAAATCATATGCAGTTGATCCTTACTATTTGTGGATTCTGTGTTTGCAAATTTGCCTAGTGGCTAAAATTTATTTGTAACCCCCAAATCTATACTCACATGGCCGTTGTGGTCATTTGCAGACATGCACAGAGCAGTGAAGATTTTGAGCCGCCCAACGCGCACATGCCCAGCTGAGGTTGGACAAGAGGACACTTTGCTTTCTCGTTTCAGCCATCATTACATAAACAAGGGTCCTTACCTTTTTAGTGCCACGTTTTTCATTTCTTTACTTTGTGTTGGAGATTTTGCTGTGTAAAATGGCCCATAAGTGCAGTGCTGAAGTGCTGTCTAGTGCTCCTAAGCACAAGAAAGCTTGATGTGCCTTACAGAAAACATACACGCAGCAGGCATGAATTATAGAGCTATCGGCCATGAGTTCAATGTTAACGAATCAACAACAAATACACACATAAAACAAGGTTATGTATCGGTCAGTTGGCAAAAATGTTGTGACTAGAGGTTCGCAGGAACCTAACTCCATATTTTCCCTAGGAGCAATGGTTCAGTATTCACTAACACAGCGTTCGCTGCAACTTTACAGAACATAACTATCATGAATAATGAGAATTGACTATATCATAAGATCCACCTTTTAAAATTCATCCGTGTACAGTTTAGTACTCTCACAAGGTTGTGCAACCATCACCATCACTGCAGAGTTTTGAGTAGTGAAATAACCTCAGCAGAGCAGAGATTTGGGAAAAATTATCTGTCCATCTTTCCCTGTCTCCTGATGTCTTTGTTCCCTTTCAGAATGCCCAGGAGAACCATGGGCTGGCTGTGCCCACTCCCTCTGTCCCAGAAGACTTTGCAGACAAAGAAGTGACAGGTAAGAGGACCCTGGGCTTGGGGCTTGTCCATCTTTCTTTCTTTCCTCTGTGGGCCTTGAGTTCAAAAGCCAAGCATCTGGCCCACCTCCCCAGCTGGTGAAAGATCCAGAGTCCTCATGCGTCTTGGCTACCGCCCATCTTGGCTACAGGCCGCAGTGGGTGGGACCAGTGGGGCTGGGAATAGGGGAGGGCGGGG